TTTAAGAAATACGGAGATGAAGCGAATGAAAAAACAGAACTAGTGACTAGCATTCATACGATTGTAGACGTAATTGAGTAAAATGGCAGAGCCAAATGATTTAGCGTTGTTGTTTTTTTTTATCTTCAAAAACATAAAACTTTAACATTTGGCGGTAAAGTTTGTTTTTGACAAACAAGTGAAGAAAAAACTATGATCGGAATGTTGATGGTTTGTTTATTCAATGGCTTTATCATATGAAATTGATTTAATTAACAATAAGACGCCCATTGATTAAATTAAGTCGCAACGGAATCACAGATTCGAAGAGATATGTAGACGTAGAGAGAAAAAGGTCAAATCTCACAATAAGATACACGAGCAATGAGTAATGCGAAACCAATGTTGGGAACATAAGCAATGGCAATGCCAAGGTTGTTGATCATGCACACAGTTTATGATGCAATCAATTGCGCTACTGTACATATATTTTAACAATTTGTTTTTTTTACAAAATTGTATTAAACAATTCTCGGTAAAACGATAAAACTCATCAACGATGGAGAAACACAAAAAAAAATTGATTTTAACGTAATTGGACATTTTACCTCCCGATTTTCAATACAATGTTGTTTTTCTGCATACGAAAATCATGTGGGCCGCGTTTACTGATTGTGACGAGCACGATTCGAAGTGGTACGGTACAGTACAGTCCGATAAGTGTAATTAAGAAATCGGTCCAATCATGCCCGAAAATACTTAAGACGATACCGACGCAACGCACCCGAAATAAAGCTTGAATATTGTTTTCTTTTTTCGGCTTGAATTCAACCACAAGGAATATGTGAGCCGTCGGCACAGCCAAACAAACCACAAATTATTTGTGCTTCATTATTTGAAATCGAACACGATTACGATGGGAGAAGAAAAAACGAGCATTGCTTTTCTGTAATTATGGGGCAAAGCCGTTAGCGTTTCAAGAAAATTAACCTCAACTACGCACATCTCCCCCTCTTTCACTCCCATCTCCGGTATAATACGCATTTTGGAATGCGCTTTCCTTCTTATTATTTAATGGGTCGCATTTCACACTCGCTGCGATTGAAAAAAAAGTGCCACGAATCAGAGCAAACAAGTAAACCGAAAAGAAGCCTTATTCAAGAGATTTTTCTTGTACATGATGGCTGTCTTCAATGTTTTTCACGTCGTAATTATTTCTGTTTCTTGCATTTTCCTTATTTGCGTGGAATCCGGATTTGTTGCGATAATCTAACTGCGAAAGAATCTTCATCCATTCGCGGTAAACACAACATGCGCGACACAATACTTTGCCATTCGAACCAAAGATTTTTTTTTTTAATATTTGGCCTTCCCATTCAATATTTGATCACATCTTTTTGCGATGAAACATGAATTATTTTTTTTTTCATCAAAAAGGAGAAATCAGAGAAAATATAATTGAGTAACAACATCTAAATCTCCCAAACCATTGTAAGAACCATACTTTTTCTTAAATGAACCTTGTCTCAAAATGAAATGAAGTATGTCGAAAAGTATGATAAAAGTCAAATGGGACAAAGGCGACACACTTCAGCACGATTCTTATTTCGATGAAGAAAAGGTTTTGTTTACTTAATCATGCGATGGAGTGTGCAAAGGATCACCTCTCGATGAAAAAGAAACGACAAATCACTCAAAAAATAAGCACTAAAGATAAATACCTTTTAAGTTTCAATTTGGATATGATTTTTTTTATATTTTTCTTCCATTTCATCTTAAAGATAAATAAAAAAGGCGTTGCCCTTTCGAAATATAAGTAACACAAGTCTGGAAATCTTTTTTTTTTTTTTGAATTAAAAAAAATCTCTCGTTTCTTTTCACCATTTATTTACGATTTAAGAAAAAAGCACGACTTTTTCATACATGATTGTTTTTTTTCTCTCTCTATCTCTCGCTTTTCGATGTTTGATGATATCTACTTACGACCTTGATTCGCAATGAATATGATAATTATTGACCCGTTTGAACCCAATTAAATTACAGGCTGATGTAGTATAAGATATTTTTCTGAATGCCAAAAATGGCGACCAACGTCTAAAATCTAAATCAAAGTCATCATTTTTTCAATCTTAATAATGGGAGTGATACTTTTAGTAGTCGATTATTAATAATATGTAGGCTTTTAAATTAATTGCATCGCTTCATCTCTGTGGGTATCAGTTTACAAACCACAATCGAGTTGTTTCTCTCTGTCTCTGTCTCTCTCCGCGTTTTCTTCACCGCGTTTTTTTTTACGCAAATCGAATCGAATGGCATTTGGTGTATATATTTCAATGTGAATTTTTTTTTTCGTATTTCATCTGTCGTGTGCTTTGTTTCTGTATTTTACGAGCGCGTCGAAATAGAGAGCTTGAGTTGAAGACATGTAAATTGGCTGAATCGATTGAGGAAAAGGTCTAACAAAACTGATATTTACAATTTGGCGTAGGTGATAATTGTTTAGCGATTTATTGGTTGGAATTGCCTTTTATGGTTGAAAGCAGTGAGTCTGGTTTTTATTTGGTTATTGATTATGCTGTTCTGTTTGTTGTTTTCTCTCTCGCTTTCACGATTCCACTTCATTTGAAATAACCATAATTTTTTTTTTTTGAATAAATCGAAATCAAGCGCGGCAGTATGTTGTCGCGTCATGTTGTGCGTTGTATACAATATTTTTATGATGATTTTTGTTGTTGTTTTTATCATTTTGTCATTTCAATTCACCATTTCGAATACAAATAATAATAATTGTATGTGATGGGTCGTTTGTGATGTGTTGTAATAATCGTACTAGAACTGGTCTCAAATCAACACGACGAAGAATGTTTCTGGTTTCCATGGTATGCTTTGGTCGTTTTTTTTAATGGGTCATCGAACTAGCCAATCCGCAATCTTCTTGGCTTAAAATCAATAAGTAGACGCAATGAGGGAGAAAACCCACCTAAGAAAATTGTTCGCGTGAAATAATGGACTTTTTGGTTTTGAATCAATGCTGTATTAATTGACGCGCGCGCACCATCATCAAATTGAAACAGAAAAAAAACCGGAAAAACACACATTTACTCTTTTCTCAAGTGTGTACACGCACACCAAATTCGTCGTCAAAAACATTTTGTCGCCGAATTGATTGACAGTGAACAATGTCTGATGTCTGCTCGCCGGACTAAGAATAATCATCGGTTCGAAATGTTATTCATTATTAGCAAAACATTTGCCATCAATCATTTATCTGTCACACCATTTCGTATCTCGATGTTTGTGCTAAAACGTGCAACGACACACATCGACTTTGTCGTCGTCGTCATCGTCATCGGCTGTGTGAACTTATGCTCTTCGAAGCGAAATTCTATCTCGGAATAAATATTCCACCATTCTTGTTGCACACAACCATAAATATTCAGCACATTCTGCGAATGATATTGGTGTCACACGAAAAGATAGCGAGAGATAAAATATATACACGCTGATGTTTTGCCACGAAAACCATTAATTACACATTGAATCAGAATGAGGCTCATTGTGTGTTTTTCCCTCATGTTTCTCAAAAAGCTCGAACAAGCGGATTTTCATAATGTCAAGCCAAGAGTGAATAAAAGGAGTCGTCGTATTTACCATATATGTTCGCATACTGCACACACGTTCAAAAACCACTGCACCAAAGAGCAAAAAAAAGGCATTTATTTTCTGCGCAAAAATGGCATTTATTCACGTTTGATTTGTGCCACTATCAGATTGCGCGCCTGCTCGAGTTACGCTCGCATATACAAATACATTGCATCGCCATGACCAAGAATGGTAAATTGCATGAGACAACACATTTAACCTTGAAAATCAATGTTCTCGCTAAATCGCAAAGTCAATCTATAAAGAATTTGAGCACACACCACCTCCAATCGAATGCATCTCGGTTTCAATTCATTTTAAGTTTATTTCTTTGGTGCGTTTTTTTCCTCACATTGATTTTAAAATGAAATTAAAGACAGAACTAACTTACATTTACAACATTGTAATTTTTCTCTTTTTTTAATTCTCTTGTGATTTATGCATTGTTTGGTCAATTTTGGACTGACTACTGAATATTTCAAGTGTAAAATGAATGGCTCGCCTGCTCGACTTACGCTCTCATACAAATGTACTGCATCGCAATACAAATGAAATATGTTATTGTTGAGATGTTGGACTCATATAAATACTTTTATTGGATATTTTTTTTGAAAACATTCAGTCATTCCTATTTGCTGAACTCTCAATAAGTGCACGATTGTATAGATGAGTTCATATATTGAACTTGTAATGAATATTTATTGAGTTAACCCTTAACCGGGCATGTCAAAATCATAACGTTATCGGGCAAGTGGGGCCTCTGAGGCCCGACGTACATTTTTCAGGCAAATTCAATTAAAAAAAAATCTACATTCAAATTTCAATGAATTTATACGACGAAAATTATTGTTTTAACATAATAGATATTGAATTAAATATGTTTTTTGTAAAATATAACTGAAAATGAAAAAATGATCAATATTTATTCCGAATCGGATGAATTTAAGTTTCAGTTCAGTAGTTGTTTAGAACAAATTTTGCACTTCATTTAAAAATTTTGATGACATTTGGTATGGAAAATGTACGTCCGGTAGTTCAAACCTCAATACAGCGCTTCTTAGGGAACCAAATTCAAAACAACTTTTATCAACGATTAGTAGAAGGATGAAACAATATATTACAAAACAATTTTTTTGATTAAAATAATATTTTATGCGATTTTATGTATCTTTTATTTTAAAAAATGCGCTACCGGGCCTCAGAGGCCCGACTTGCCCGGTTAAGGGTTAAATTTGATTTGGTCAAATTGCCCGCTTTTCCTTCAATTATTCAATTAAAATTAATTGTACGAACTTCGAATGAAATACACATAGTTATTTTTGGATCAAAATATTACAATTGGATCTTCTTAAATCAGTTTTATTTGAGATTCAGTCGCAACCAATCGCACTTTATTTTAGTCCTCATGAGAATTTCGAATAAGTTGAAAAAGATTCGAAAAAGTGTTATATAAATCAAAATCTGTAAGAAATGAAATTGATTTTTTTGCTATTCACTTTTGTGCCATTGTTCGTCGCAATAGAGAACGAAATATATTTTGGTAAACTGTTAGAGTCGGATTTGCCAAAATTCTGTTTTCATGCATCTATTTTACTTGAAGAAGGAGATACTCGTTGCAACGGAGCAATAATCTCTTCCACGCAAATTCTAACTTCCTTCAAATGTGTAAGATATTGGGATTATCATACTAGATATGAGTCAAAAAATATATCGGTGCGAGTCGGTTCAATAGAACGATTTAATGGGGGAATTGTTAGACAAGTAGCCAGTTTTAAACACTTACCCTATCCACTTAATGATCATATAGCAGAAAGCGATTGGTACAAAGAAAGCACTCGAATTGAGTTTGAAGATTTGGCAAAACTTGATTTGATTGTGTTTACACTCAAAGATCCATTGCCATTGGGTCCAACAATTTGCCCAATTCGTTTGGCTGAAAAGGAAGACGATATTTATGTAAAAATTGGAACTAGCGTTGAAATTGTTGGCTGTAGTACACTCAAAAGAGAAACAATAGAAACCAGGGAGTTGCATTCGATAAAAGAAACTATATCCAATGTCACTGAAAAATGTCCCCAATTCTTTTTTCCTAGAACGGGCATCTATAAGGAGGAGGGAGGTAAGAAGTTTGTTATTTATTTATTTTATTAATTTTCATTCATACAGTCAATAAATTTACACCCGCAAGAACACCTGCTTTAGTATAGCATTTATGGAGAATATAAATGAAAATTAGATTTTACACAATTGTTGATAGTTTCTGGGAAAACCCATTTGTGTTATTATTAGAGAACTTTTAATACGATTGACTATCAATGAGAAATTGGCCCTTTTGTTTTTCTAAAATCTAAAAAATTATCGGTTTATGCACTTTCCTCAAGAAAGAATTATATTTTCGGAGGAGTGAGGGCCTTTGCAGTTGCAAACTGTCTTATATCCATTCTTCTTTGTAAATTAACGTCATGTAAAATTTTGTGCCAAATGATTGGACTTTCCATCTTTATAAATATAATACACAAAATTTTGGTCGAACATTTAAAAAAGACTCGAAAACAAATTAAAAAATTTTAATTTCATATTTTTTCATATAGCTCCGTTGATTGTTAGAAGAAAAAACAATTTATTTCCCAAGGGAGAACCATTACTATTAGGAATAGTATCAGACGGTGATTCATTTTACTTTTCGTACAACGGAGTTGTGAAAATTTCAGCATTTTCCGGATATATAATGGTAAATGTACAATGTTATTATGTTTTATTAATACCTAAGACAGTGAAATACTCTTTTAGAAGAGAGTAAACTCTATTTGTATAGTTTTGTTCGACTCTCTTATCACTCTTTTGCATTAAACACGTATATTTAGGCAACGTGTGTGACAGAAATCACAATTTTGAATCTGAGTATTTGCTTTGCAAAATTTCATTGAACTTCAGATGATGACATTTTTGGAAGTCACAAATTAGTCACTGAATCTATGTAGAAGATTTTTTCTAATTTCGGCCTTTTTTATGAAAAGCCATTTCAAATTTACGATTAAAAACATTTTTGTGCATATTTCAATTTTTTGTTCATAATATGTCCACCAGATGTCGTATCGAAAATCTAAAGTCATATTTGTGAGTCACAAATTAATCACTAAAATTCTGCATGGTTAGATTTTCATTTTTTGCTTTCATTCAAAATTTCTCAAAGAGACTTTTTGGCCAATATGCCTAAATAGAAAAATGGTGTGAAATATGGAGTCAATTTTTGGGTTCGGGGCAAGGGGAAAGTACTAAATCATTTCAATACCAGTAATACGATCTACTACAAAAAAATACCAAGCTATATCAAAAAATACGATGCAGTACTGAACATTTATTTCGATCTGTCACAACTAGACAAAAGTGCGTATGTTGTTCCAAAAAAATGTGTTTCTTATGTAAGTAGGCTGGTTTTGCATTTGCCTTTTGCGCTGTCTCTTTATATATTTGGTTTTTGCGCTCATAAAATTTGTATTAGTATTGTTTGCAGCATGTTCTGTATGTTATTATTTTCTTCTAAGGCCGTCATATAGAGTTCCATTTCAGTGTCAAGGTGTGAAACACCACATAAACTTTCACCCATATCTAGTATACTTTTCAGTCCTCTATCGATTTACATCATGGGTAAACCCCCTCTCGTACCCCTCCCCTGAAAAGTTTCCCCCTTGTCCATGTATGGTTCAATATTCATGGTACCCATGGAATCGCCGAGGGGCATAAAAACGCCAAATATGAAAAGTCGGACAAATGCTTCAAATTATATTATTTTTTTGGGGCTCACTACCGATTCCATGCGAAAAATCGAAAATCGGGATATAACACATTAGAAGGTTTACTGGTTAGGCTATGTAAATGACAACTGGAAGTTTCAGAGTTGTAATGTTTCAAATTTAAACAATTTTTGTTGTGTTCTTCAATTATTTATTTTATTTTTTTTTGCATTATTATTTACATTAAAACTCCGAAACTTCCAGTTATCATTTACATACAAAACATTTTTTTTTCAGTGTGCCAAATAGTTCAATTGAGTTATTTTTTTATAGGGAAACAAAACGATGCCTGATGGTAGATGCTGAAAAACTCATTCAAGGATTAACTCGAATGAATATTTTTTGTACACAATAGTACTACTTCGATTTAAAGCTATGCTGCAATTTTTTTTGAGAATTCTTGTTACATTTTGTTGAATGTTTTTTTTTTTTGCTTTTTTCTGCAATCTTTGTATATTATCAACCGGTTAAGCCTATGAAGAGACAAAATGCGAATTCCCCTCATCTGTGCCATCTTGTATTCCATAGTTGAACTCAATTTAGTTACAATGAATTGAATCGAAAAAGAGAAAAAAAACAACAACAGTAACATGGCTACATAGATCTGTTGACCAGTGAGATACGTATAGCAATGGAATGAAAGAATGAAGAAAGCGTATATGTGTATGTATGCATCAGCACGCATAGATGTACAGCTCTGTGTGGCCGTGCTATTGTTGTTGTTTTTTCACTTTTTCATTTCAATGCTACAGAATTAAATTCAGTTTTTGCATCTAATTCACACTAAAATCAGATGGCGCTCATTAGCGAGATTCGCAAAAAAAAGTCTCCAATCTCATACAAATATACACCGGCTGTATATTATTGAAGGCAAATACATTTGTATAATTGAATATTCAGTCTTATATCTTTCGTCAACCAAAAGAGTTCATGATGAAAACGTTCGTGGTTTTTATTTTAATAGTAATTAGTTTTAAATGTGAAGGAATCAGAAATGGCTACATTGTAGATCCCAATCGGATGTCATACTATTGCCACACGGCCGCAATAATGTGTTTAAAGGGAAATGGAGAAAAATCGTTGTTTTGTTCTGGAGCCATAATATCGCGATATGCGGTTTTAACATCACAAGATTGCCAATTAGATTTAAAAGAGCAATGTTTAACATCATACGTTCGTGTTGGAGACGTGAATATTGAAAATTCAAAAGAGTATGTTATTGAGGATATCAAACCCTACGACTTGAACGTTCGTGAATATAGCTATTGCTTTGCTAAAATATCCGAGATGGAGAAGAAGACAAAAACTCTTCCGGCCGATTAAGAAGCGCATTTCTTTACGTTGAAGAGAGAAATTATTGCAGACAACAAATGTACTCTTTAAGAAAGAAGAATTTGGAAAAAACTGACTTTTGCTTCACGTATTATCATGGTGGACAAGAATTCTATGGACAAGATGGTGATCAGGGCGGTCAGTTACTATAAAATATGACTTATCCCTTTTAATCGTAACATATAATGTATGAAATTATTTTCCTTTTTATTTATTTCCAGCACCCTTAGTATACACTGATCCCGAAAACAGTAAGAGATATTTAGTAGGTGTTGATGGGTGGCAAATCAGAGATGACAAAACTGTATTTCTTGAAACTACGCCAAGAATTAAGGACTTTGAAAAGTGGATAATTCGACACATACCTATTGAACACGTAAGTTTAAAAAAAAAAACGACGGTAATTTTTATTTGAAAAAGCTAATTTTTTCCCCTGCAGGAATCCAATGATATTGTTAAAACACCTATTGAACACGTAAGTTTTATAGAAAAACTACGGTAATTTTTCTTTCAAATAACCAATTTTTTTTCTTGCAGGAATCCAATGATTTTGTTAAAACACCTATTAAACACGTAAGTTTTATAGAAAAACAACGGTAATTTTTGTTTAAATGTCTAATTTTCTTCTTTTTTTTTGCTGCAGGATATCAAAATGACACCAGAACTATAAATTGATGATGAAATACGGCTGATATATGATGGACCTCTGTGCAAGACTCTCTCCGTGCCTATGTTTCTTTTTTCTATTAACTAATCACATTTTCGGTCAAATATAATTGTTATTTTGGGAAATTTCAATCAAAAATATTTTAAATGAAATAAAATTAGAAGCATCATATCTTTATATTTTATTTTTTCCGAAGTTAATTGCTTGTTAAATATCAATGATGAATTCTCAACAATCCCTGTTTCAATTCATTTTAAGTTTATTTCTTTGGTGCGTTTTTTTCCTCTCATTGATTTTAGAATGAAATTAAAGAGAGAACTAACTTACATTTACAACATTGTAATTTTTCTCTTTTTTAATCGTTCGTTCCTCGAAACGAATTCCTTTTTTTTATACTTTAATGCATTTTCTCCTTAATTCTCTTGTGATTTATGCATTGTTTGGTCAATTTTGGACTGGCTACTGAATATTTCAAGTGTGTATGTGATAGAGTGTAAAATGAATGGCGCAAAAAAATATGCCAGTCATTGGCGTCGTAAATATTCGTTTTTTTGCTTCTTCGAACTCTTTTCGATTTTAAATGAGACAAGTTTAACTTTAAATCAATGTGGTCATTTAAAATTGTAAAATAGCATATATCTCTAGAGATCGGATAATCGGATGAGGAAAAAAATTGTAATTTCTTTTCAGAAAAGTGCATAAAATCTCAATAAAACCGTCAAAATACCATGAGTGATGTGGATTCGTAAGCTGATGAGATCGATTGACGATTATAAACACAAAAAGAAAAACACAAACCCATATACAGTTTTTCACATAAAATCTGCGGCTCTGAAAATGTGAAGAAAATGACTCAATAAATATCATCTTTCAATATAATAGCCGTGGCTCAATTTCATCTGCGTGACGCACACTGCGTCTGATGGTTTTTTTTTCATCACAATATCATGGCGTCTCATCGTTAGGTCTTTTTCTCTCTCATCTCATTAACGTCTATTTTCCCTTTTTCGAAATTGGACAGTAACCAGAATATTGTCATGAATGTCCATCAATTTCATATGCTAATTGGCTAAATGATTCGAAATGTGATAAAATATCACAAAAATCAAACATGGAGCAACAGTGTCACTAATCTTGTTGGATACAGTGATAATGAGTTCACCCATCTCAATATCGTGGTCACAATAAATAAATATATGCAATGGAAAATACAAAACAAACTGATTCGTTTTCGTATCGATTTTGAATAGAAGACGCGGACACAAAAAAAAACCGAACGCCAATAAAAGGAATTCTCATGAATTTTTGAATAGACTAAATTGTATTTTTTTATGGCGCTGTGTTTAAGTGTCTGACTATGTATGTTCGTGGGTACAATATTTTTTATTCAATCTATGAATATAGTTTTCGGTGATGACCGATAAAAAAATACAAGTTTTACTTTACTCTCTTCGTTTTGGCTTTTATCTCATTGTTAATGGGCGCAAACGAGTGATCGCGCACCTCGCTGCGTTCGCTCAACAACAAAACTATCACGGTGTAACAATAGCTAAGCGAAGAAAAACCAGAGAAGAACAACAAAAAACACAACAACGTAGAAAACGGGTTCAACACAAAATTTATGATTATGTGATAAAGAGCCATGTGTGTGTGTGTGCATAGGCACATTTAGAAATCGACGCTGGAAAAAAATAGAATAACACAAAACGTTGTTCTATTAAGATTAGGTAATAAAAATGAATTCAGTAGTATTGCTTTCCTATTTAAAGCCACAACAAATAACAACAATCGAAAATATCAATATCACTATTTATAGCCCGTGACTGTTGTGTGTTGCGATGAGTTTCTTTTTCAGCATTTATTTTTTTTTGTTCGTTCCTGATTCTTGACCAATTTTCCATTGTTTATGAGTGACTGAACGATTTGTATTACGAATACGATCGAGCGAGCCAATCTAATTAGGCGTACGCTATCGCTTTAGGTGCCTTTTGTAATAGACCCATTTTTCTATTCAATTATAGCCTCAAATTGATAATTTTAGACTAGCCAAAACAATCACAATTCCGAGAGGATTTCAATTGGCTTTGGGATGCAAAATGGAAGAAAAAGAAATTTTTCAATTTGCCTTTAAATTGGAACGAAAAGGGCAAAAATCGACAAAATTACCATCGTCAGTCGATGTAAAATGCTTGGCTCATTGTGAATGTATGACTCAACCAGAACGATGATGCAGTCTTTTTGAATCTTAATGGCGCACATTATGGACGATCATTCAACAACTCAGCTCGACATGGATTTAAGAAAATAGAAGCTATATGCATGTGTGTGCTGCGCGCAAACCATACAAAAGATGAAGACGTATAGAAAAGAAATTGAAAACTGGTTTCGACTTTAAGTTGCAATAAACCTTTAACATATCTTCATAAAATCCTCGAGACAAACGAAAAAAAAAATACATGAACATTGCTCGAAAGAGCGATGAATAAAAAAATATGTTCATGGTTTAGCTGGTTCTACTATAATCGCCTTCTTTTCGCAGCCAAAATGCATGCGAGAGAAATAAGCGAGAGGATAAATAGATAGAGGGAGAGAGAGAAAGAGAGAGAAGAGAGTGTCGATGCTAAATCGAAATTGAAAACGTTTTTACCGAAAAACTAATAAAACAAAAGGTATAAGAATAAAACCAGTTTTTTTCGCACATATTTGCCCTGCAATTGCGATTGTGTATGTTGAGAATGAAAGAACACGACCGAAAGGAGGATTCTTATCGGTAACTGATTTTATTGCACAAATGCTTCTCGAATGCATATTCGAAGTTTTTGTGCATTTTCAAAAGAAATCATATGAAATGCTTGAGTTGGTCTTTTCTCTCGTCTTGCTGGTCCGTTTCAAAGGTTTTTAAATTGATTATTGACTTAATTGCATGTTACGATGTCAGAAAATTATTGCTGAGCCTTGTTTGATGGGTTGCCACAGCATTAACGAGATGAACGAAGAGAATCGAATCAGTTTCCATTGACTTTGTTCGTTGTCTGCTGTTGCAAAAAGTTAAAATCTTTTTATTCGCTATGGAAACCATTGCGTTACATTTAGTTAACACTTTGGTTCATCCATAGAGCATAATGTGTATTCACAGCTACGAAACGACCGAGAGCGAGACGAAGAGCAAGAGATGAGCAGAATTTAAAAAGAGCAACAGAAAAAAAACGATGTGAGAATTATAAGCAACGGTTTTAAAAATGTGAAACGAAAGGAGAAACAACGTAATTGATGAAGATACGAATGTGTAGAGATGTGGCGGACAGCAATCAAGAGTTGATAAACAGAATAAGAACAAAAAGCCAGCATGTTTACACAAATTCCAGTTCTTTCACACAAGCGATTCCATTTTTGAAGCCGAAGCATCTCTTTTTTTTCTGCTGCTTTTACTTCTTCTTCAAAATATATGTTGTGTGTGCGAGTGAATATACGTTTTCCATTATAAATATTTATTCTTTGTGCTGAATTTGCTCATTTCTACGTCTTTCTTCTCTCCACACTGCGATTCATTTCTTATAGTCGTTTTTTCTCGTAGTTTTCTTTCATTATTTCAACATTTTTATGTGCGAATGGTTTTTTTTTGTGTGTGTGTGTTACGCATGTTTCCTTTGATGATGCGTTTTTTCCTTGCATTTGTTAAGCAAATATGCCATAAACGGCCTTGTCTCGTCCCACACACTCACATACCATAGTCCTGTGTCTTTACACGGCTCGAAACTCGTTCGATTCGAGTTTCATCGTTGATCGTATGTGGTGCACTATTGTTCAATCAACTGAATGATTTGAAATTGCAAAATAATTCAATGTATTCCAGATATTCGCAACGACTACTCAAAGTAGTCTACTCTCTATATATATTATCAACACGGAATTGAAAAAAGAAAAACAAATCTTTTGTGCATAATTATGATGGAATGTGTGATGAGAATGCTGTTAAATGCTGTAGAGACGAGAGAGAAAGAGACAGAGATAGAAAGAGAGAAAATCTGAACGAAACAAAGATTGAAAAAAGGAGTCGTTCGTTTTTTATCATCCTCATTCGCCATGGCAACAGGCATTTGTGTATACATAACAATAGCTGAATTCTTATACTTTTTTCGTGTTCATTTTAAAAGGTCAAGCGAAATGTACGAATGAATCAGAAGAGAAAAAGAAGAAAAAAAATTGCCAAAAAGCGCCAGCAACTAATTACCTCTATGTACAACAACAATGAAACCGGATCGATTTTCCTTCTGTGATTTCATCGCCCTTAACAACGGGCTCTCTTTTCTATGGCTAAACAAATACGCATTCTACCAATTTACATTATGCATTTACTTTTTCTCGATTCTCTTGTATTGTGTATTCTCGCCTACTCGCAAAAAAAATATATGTACAGAAAAACACACACACATATATGTATTCTGGTCGGTTTTTTTCTTCTTGAATTCTATTCCGATTGAAGATACAAAAAAGAAAATCACATGGACATCGTACATGAAATAAAGCATACGATTGGACGTTGTGTGTGTTTTATCTTCGTCGCTCTCCCTCCGATTGGTGTATGTTTTGGTTTTCGGCAAAAGCGAATTTTACAAAGCCATTTGGATTATGCGGCTGTATGGCAAAGCAATTCAATCGAAGCAAAGAAACGGACAGTCTCGAAGAATATGCACACATTATGGTGAGCTGTAACACACAAAAAAGACCCCAAAATGCAAAACTTGCATTGCACAAGCGAAAAAAATTCCAAAAAAGACAATGCCAAAATCGTCGAAAAGAGACTTAGTCGCTATTTTTGTAAAACGACAGCATTTAGCGGCATCTTAACTTTGTGTTTCATTTCTTTTTCCATCTCTTGTGAGTGGTCCTTTTTCCCCCTTTACCATCATTCATTATTCGGTCGCGTCGTATTTTATGTGGCAATTAAACCAGATGTAAATTTGCAAATTTTTCAACACATGCAACGTGAATAGCATCGTGTGGAGTCTTCACACTGGTTGAAACTTGTTGCAAATTCCGTGTGATGCACAAAAACCCGTTTCATTCGGGAATCGGCTACTGTTTTTGCCGGTTT